AAAAAGTTATAGCAAAACTCAAATTTTAAATTTGAATCGGTAAAATGAATGGGCCTAATTTTTTGTATTTGTTTGATCTTTTGGGTATTCGATTTTTGTTTTTTTGGAACTAGCATATAGATCATGCTTGGATGAAATAATGGGTTCGTTTAACTTCGCAGATTTGAGTTTTCCAATTGAGTTGAAATGTGATATTTTTTTAGAGTTTTTCACTGTAACAGAAAAAAGTTAAATGTGATATTTTCTGAGAGTTTTTTACTATAAAAATCTAAAACTGAAAACTCAAATCGGTGAAATGAACGAGGCGAAAAAAAAGTACTTTTAGTTGTTAAAAAGTTTTTATTATTTTAATATCTTTCAATTTGAAATTATTAAAAAACTATTTTTTGGATTACCGATTATATCATAAGGTAAAGTTTTATGTCTGACACTTGTACAGTCCGGCAAATAATATAACTTGTTTTTTTTTTTTTCTAATTTCTGTGTAATATCCTTTATATGTGTCAGTTTGTTTAAATATAATACACAATGATATGTATGTTGGATTACATGTTTTGAATTTTATAATTAAACGAAGTGTGTAGTATAAAGAAGGATGTTACATAATAATATGAAAAAAATTACATTTACCTGACTGATTCGATTGCCAGATCACTTAAGACATTCTCGTATTATATATACTCTTCTATAGTTTGAATTTATGCTAAAATTTTATCTTTGAACAATCAATTTTGACCGACAAAAAAACAAACAAACTAAACTCCTTTGAAAGAAATCCAAAATTGAACGACATTCATGTCTTTTGCATAGTTAAAATCGTCTTTCGAAGAAAATACAAGAGATTTAATATGAATTTAAGATTTGAATCTCTAAATGTGATACAATCTGAAATACAAAGTATGATGTTTCATAAACTCAAAATGCAACTATTAACCTTAGTGAATATCTAAATCTTAAAAGTTTCATACTTACCTTAAAAAAAAAAAATTTGCATAATACCAGTAGAGTATTTTTTAAAACCCCTACCATTAGTGTTGGACTTTCAGGCGGCGGGCATGCCTGATGCCCGAAAATTTTCGGGCACGGCGGGCAGGCCCCTCTCGCCACCCGAAAATGTTTTTCTTCGGGCACGGGCTCGGGTAGCCCGAAAATGGTAAGCCCCCCAACAGCCCGCCGCCGTGGAGAAGCCTTCCACCGCCGTTCGCCGGATTTTTTTTGAATTTTCCGGCAAATATCCGAAGCTGCCCGAACTACCCAAATTTTTGCCCGAATTACCCGAATTTTTTTGTGACCGTTGCCCGAATTTTGGTGACCGTTGCCCGAATTTCGACCCGTGCCCGAAAAATGCCCGATTTTTTGTTTACCGTTAGCCCGAAAATGCCCGAATTTTGAAAAAAAATGGTCTTTTGTCCGAACCCGAACCCGAACCCGAATTTTGCCCAAATTTTTGAACCAAACGGTCGGATTTTTATCCGTCGCCCAAACTGCCCGAATTTTGCCCGACCTGCCCGAAAATTTTGTAGCCGTTGGACCCGAATTTTTGGGGGAAAAATTTTTTTTTTCAACCCAAAAATTTTCCTATAAATACCCCCTCCCCCCAACCATTTTCCTTACCCCAAAACTCTCATTCTCTCTCAATTTCTCTTAATCTCTCTCAATTTCTCTTAATCTCTCTCAAATCTCTCTTAATCTCGCTTAAATCTCTCTCGAATCTCGATCTCTCTTAAGCTCTCTCAAAGCGCTCTCAATCTCTCTTATTTTTCATAATGGCTTCTTCTGGTTATGGTGGTGATATTCCCATTGATGCCTAATTCAACATCGAAGAAGGGCAATTTCCTAATGTTTTTCAATCGCAGGAATCGCAAACTATGGAAAGAGATGCTGATCAAACTGCAAATCCGACCCCTGGTGGACGTACTAGAGGTCGGGGACGCAATGGTGGTGGCACAAGTGGCCGTGGAGGAGAGGCAAGCGGTAGTGCTAGTGCAAGTGTTGCAAGTTCTAAGAAGAAATGCAAGCGCACCTCAGCAGTTTGGGAGCACTTCAACACATTCGATGACGTCGACAATAACGGTAATATTAAATACGTAGCTCAATGTAAATATTGTGGTGACAAATTACAAGGTAACACTATTCACGGGACTACACACTTAAGAAGGCACTTTGAAAAGTGTCTTCAAAAGCAAGGAGGCGGAGATCAACTCCGCCAAACACAATTATCGTTTGACCGCCAAACCGGCGGTCTAAGCACGTGGAAATACGATCCGCAAGTTGATCGTATGAAATGACACGATTAATAGCCACATTAGATCAACCACTAAGTTTTCCTGAACAAAGAAATTGGCAACGTTATATTAAAATTGTACATAATCCTAATGCACAATTTTTTTCTAGAACTACTCTTAGGAAAGATGCATTAAAATTATATAAACAAGAAAAGGAAGCATTAATCAACCTTCTACACTCTACTAGCGGTTGCGTTGTGTTAACAGCGGATATTTGGTCCGCTGTTGCCAACAAGGATTATTTAGTTGTAACCGGACATTATTATAAAGGTTTTGATTTGGATAAGAGAATCTTAGGTTTCAAATGTGTTATAGGATCACATACTGCCAATTTAATATATAACACAATTTTATCTGTTATTGATGAATATAGTTTAAGAGATAGAATAATGGCCATAACATTAGATAATGCAACTGCGAATACTAAAACAATAGAACTTTTTGAAAATGATTTAAGTTTATTTAGTAATAATGATATTTTCCACCAACGTTGTGCATGTCATATAATTAATTTAATAGTAAAGTCCGGTTTAAAATCAATGTCAGGTCATATTAAAAGAATTAGAGATAACATTGCTTGGATTCAAGGTAGTAATCAAAGAATACAAGATTGGTTTAGATTTCTACAAGCATGTAATCAAAATC